CCCGTGCCACAATCCCAGGCTCGTGTCCCCCACCCCCCCCGGTCCCTCTCCAGAGCCATTCACCGGTTTGCGACAGCGGGGTATCGGGAAACGGGCGCCGCTTTACGGCCGCAGCGCCGCCTTCTGGCTCGGCGCAGAGATCGGCGAGAGGTGGCCGCCATCTTGTTGTACGGATAACAGTCGGCGGGGATGGCTCGCAGCGGGCGGGGTTAGGGAGCGGTTTCCGAGGCCGTGGCTGCCTGGAGGTGGCGGCCATGTCGCCGTACGGAACGGAACGCCAGGTGCGGTAGGCCGCCGGGCCCCTCTCCCTGAGGCCGCTGTCCTGACGGAGCGTGTGCGGCTGCTCCTCCTCCGCAACCTCCGCATCCAGGGCCGCCTGCCCCGCGTCCCATCCCTGCAGACAGCGGCAAGAGTACTCGGCTGGTAGCGAGCCGTCGCTGTCGTGGCGACGGAGGGGAGGCCGGGCCCTGCGGCACAGGACGCCGGCGGGGAGCAGGCCCGGGCAGCCGCGGCGGCGAGGGGACGGCTAGAGCTAGGCCAAGGGAGGCTGGGGCCCGGCCCTGTTGTGTCGAGGTCCCTCCGTCCATCGCTGCGTGCTGGCCTCTTCCACCTTGCACTGAGCGACAGCGCTGGCTAGGGCGCACCGCTCCCGCAGACATCTGGTCGCCCGACCCACGGGATGCTTCCAGACCCTCCGCGCCCGCCGTCTTTGCCAGCGCATACTTTCACCGCGCTTAAAAACCCTCCTAGTTTTCTTTCTTAATAGTTTACTCCTTTTCCCAATAGTTTTCCAGCTTGCGCAGCGGCCTCGATTGTTCTGTATTTGCTACCATGCGAGTTGTTTGCGCGAGAATTAAAGTGAGAACAGCGAGACCGAATGGTGGTAAGGTCAGTTGCGTGGTGGAGAACCGACATTATTCACACGGTTATCCAGGTACCTAAGGTATGTGCATCTGGACAAGAAAGACTCGCAAAGTGCAGGAAGACAGAAAGTTGCCGCAAGGAGCTTCCTAAAATGTGCAGTTAGGACACACACCATAATTCCTACTATGCTTCTGAGCATGTTTCTTTGTGATACTTGTCTTCATCATTACGTAGATTAGTAGACCCTGAAAATGGTTTGCTTACCTTAATGGTGTTTGTGTGTGCAAGTGGCTGGAAGGTGCTTACCACTCAAGTTGTCAGGGATATACAAACACCACTTCTAACTGCAAGCGGTTGCTGCTCCATTGTGATTCTCCACCTGTGTCCTCCTGTTTGTCCCCGTAAATCCTGGAACATGCAGGCAAACCAAAGGAAGATTTAAACATCTGTGCAGGTGTAAGATGACTGTCAAAGGTGCAGTTCACAGACCGACAGCATGCCAGAAAAAAATCATTATTAAAATGATCCTAGTGAGCCAAATCTTTCAGTTACTTCTACAGGTGATGTTTTACATGACATTTACAAACCAGAGATGTGTTATTAACTGGTCGAAAGAGCAGAAA